CATGCAGAGACCACAAGCAATTTGTCATAAAATTTCACGAATGCGCGTAACGTCCACCGAACGCAGTGTTAATCAGATACATTACGCGGACATGACACACAATCGCAGTAACATTCTACTTGCTGTGGTAACATCTCCAGCAAGCAATAGAAAGAATTTTTGTCGTATTTAAAGCTGTAATTAAATCCCACCAATATGCAACACTAACGCAAGATATCCATCACGATTTCGTATTTAAAACAGGACCCGAAATTAAAATTACAAAAATTAAATTTCGTAAAAAAATTAATTAAAATGTTGACCTGTGTCGATGTTTCGTACACAGGACCCAGGAAGGTCCTTCTGAAGTTCGAAAACACAAGCCCATAGTCAATACTCAAAAAGTCCACCGTTCAATTCGCGTCCCGAAGTAACTTCGACGTGAAGTCGTATCAGAATAGGAAGATCGATCATTGAATGTGTTTTCTCACGAGCCTAAGGAGAGACAGTTGTTTGTTCATAACGCATGTCACGGGTGCAGTTAACCTGAGGCATTAAAATGTACGCAGCCTAATTGCCCCCCCCCCCACACACACACTTTTTATACAACCAAAAAGTTGAATAAAACGTTCATAAGCGCCCTACATTCAAACTGAAACTACCGCTCCGAGGCACCGGACTGAATCTGATGGGCGGACAATGAACCATCAGCTGACGAAGGCATTTCGGAACACATGTTTTAGGATCAAATGGTTCTCGACATTTAAAATCGAGGTTTTTACCAATCTTAAGACTGCATTAAACACTGCAGCCGATGAAAACATTTCGGATTAGTCGGCGTATGTAACCAATGGGCGCGGACAGCCCGCTCCATGAACATCGCGGGTCCATCATCCATCATCTCTTCACTGACTGATGATTCCGTTTCGTCCGACTTACGCAAATTTATGAAAATTAGGAAACACTTCTTCGCGGCAAAGACGAAGTTGTTTACTAAAGACGTCTCACTGTTAATGACTGTACTAAACAAATGAACAGCTGATTCTGAGGAAACTCATGAAGACGCAAGATTCTTCGCACAGATGAGTCGCTGCCATAAATATCGAAACTTCGCAAGAAATAATTCGGCTTCAGTAGAATTTTAAGTTCTCGCGGTCTGGATTAAGGCGCCCTTTAGGCTGGTAGAAGTTTATCGACGTTTCTGATAACGGGGATAGGGTCTCCGAAACGTCGGCACACTTCTGCCAGCCTAAAGGGCGCTACAACCCAGCTTTCTCGTAATCAACGTGCTGCAAGATTTCTAGACAGATGATAAGATAAAATTAACTAGGCTTAGGATATTTTCTCTTTTATTCCGAGTAAGCAATGAAAAGTTAGGAATATGGCGTACGTCGACACTCTCTTCGGGTTTGGCCTTCATGTGGGTTATCGGACAACAACAAGTTGGGCGACTATCAGCTGCTTCCTACATTTCGTTAGCACAAAATTTAAACATTTCCAAAATTAAATACGAATCGTTTATGTTCGTCTGATGCCCCAAAGAACTTTTCGTGGGAAATGTGCCGCGCCCAGGTTCAGTTTTCTTGGCCGTCCGTCAAACACTTTCGGAGGCGAAACACACAGACGGGCGTCGAAGTATTGAGCCATCGGCCGGATGTGTGATTATTTTATTCGAATGCACGAAGCAGGGCTGTGGCCGTGGCCGATCCAGCCCACAGCTTCTAACTCAAAAATTTAACTTAACAAATACCGCGCTTTGTCCGACTTTCGCAAATCTTATGTAATTTCAGACAAGAGGAATCAGGAAGGAGTCGAGAAGACGCAATTATGAAACAATCGATGTATCAGCCCAGGGGGAACGCACAAGACATAAAAATCAACAAACAGTAACAAGTCATCAACTCTTGAAACGTGGTTCAGCTAGCTATTATGGGTCTTCAGAATAGCCCGCCTCTCAATTATATCCCTGGCCAGCTCAATCCAATCCCAGCGTCACTTTAATGTAATTCTCCCAACTTTCCCCTCGAGGTTTCCCCGCTAAAAGTATGCACGCTACATGTTCGGCCCACTTTATCGATGTTAATGCACAATTTTCAAGCGGAATGTTGCACGTTGGCGGAACCGCCTTCGACGGATTAGAGTTTAAATTCACAATGTCTGTCTATTAAGGGCGGGATATTTGGTACAAAATGCGAAGGGCGCGGTCGGAAGCCACATCGTAGTTTTCTTAAAACCCTCGCCTGAGGGAAAGCGTGAATACGCCTAACCTGCGGCAACCTGGAAAACATCCGAAACTGAGCAAACGAAACAAGTCTAAGTGATCTGTTTCAACATCGGCACGGAAAACCTACAGATCCGGGAAGGAAATAGCCAGACGCGGAATTACCGATCACAAACGCGCCGTAAAACGCGACATATTAACCCTTTGAAGCCGAAGATCGTCTGAATATTATTTACGAATCCAGACCGTACCGCGAAGAAAACACTTCACCTCACCATTACGAAAATCAGCTGGTTAACCCTTTGAAGCCGAAGCTCGTCTTCATAATATTTACGAATCCAGACCGTACCGCGAAGAAAACACTTCACTTAACCATTAGAAGTCGAATCAGGCGGTACCACATAAGATTTAACAAAAGAACATCCCGGTCAAAGCCTTAAAAGGAATTACGTATCTGAGAAAGGTCCATCGTACTTCAGCTTGCTGCGTACCCGGGGTTTGGAAATGGATTTTCATTCCGTCTCAGAATCGTCAAGTGATCTCATGAATCTCGCGAAGAAATCTAAATATACGAAACATCTCACCGCGGCCCTAAAAATAGCCAAACTGTCAGTGTGGCCTCTCAGCCAAAATGTGCCATATGTTTTGGTTGTTCGACGCCTATTCTTACAGACTTTAATTGTTTCTGTTACCGAATTCCTGTGGCGCCGGTTTCGGACTCGGCCGGTCGGCCGACGGAGAGGGCGCGCTGCCTCGGAGACGACTCGCAGCTGGCACACGAGGCGCAGTGGCGTGCCACTGGGACGTCGACAGCCCGTCTCCGCACCTCTCAAGAGAGGGCTCGTCGTACGAAAATAAAACCTCAGCGGCAAATAACTACGACGAACAAACCACCGCGTTCCTACGCTCGGACGAACGTAGATAAACGCTCGTGACAACACACGCCACTGCTTTCAGATGGGACCGGAAACCAAAGCCCTGAGGGACGACTTAACAAAGCCGTGGTACGTTCCACTCTTCAAACACGGTCACTCCTAGGCTCTCCACTGGAGTCGCCGTCTTTCCATCAATACGAGAGAATTCTTCTTAAACCACCAACAAAAATAACTGGACGTAGTTTTAAAAAAACCTCCAGACTCTGTCAACGTCTAAAACCAAACTATTCCACGCGAAATACAATCACCGGGTCATTAAATCAAGAATCTCGATTTACTTTCCTTTTCCGCCGCACGGATGCCCTAAATGTCAGCACCGTCGGCCGCTATCAACAAAGGACTCGAACGCGTGACCCAAGTGTTCGAGTGGACTCGGGACGGTACGAGCACTGGGGATAAAATCGTCTCGCAACAACAACAGTTTGCAGTTCATCACGAATTAAGAACCATTGTTATTTACAGGAAATATTTTAGACTTTAAAACGCAAATACAAATTCGAAATTGTGTTATACGTGAACACCGATCGAACATTCTAACAACAACAATGCCATTACCGCAATTAATAATCGAGTACGTTTAGATGATAATATTCCAACACCGAACCTCAATTGTTGCACAAGCCTACGCCCAACGACTACAAAACATCACGGAAACACGTTCCTACGTCGGAGGCCACACGGCCATATTTATCGGCGTTGAAGCCCGAACAGCACGCGGGAATAATGTGAAGACTTGAACACGAAAACTCAGGATCAGGGCACATAACAAAACAAGTCATTTCATTTGTCGGCGCGCAGTTGATATAGCGCAGTGAAACAAAACACAAATATGGAAAAAGATGTGAATTCTTCCGAGCGACCACGGCAGCACGTCCTGGGCCAGCGGTCCACTCTCGCTCGGCGGCAACACCGACCGTAGCTCGCACGAGGGAGTCCCACTTCCCCGCCATTGAGCAAACGCATCGCAAAACAAAGGACCTGAAGCTACGGAGACTCCGATTGCCCCGTCCTTCTTCAGACACTCCCGTCTCACTACACGAAATGACCTTGGATGCATCTGACGCCGCCTTCAATCCGAAAATGACATCGCAACTCAACAAAACAAATGTTTCTCCTTCCTTGAAAGTGTTGATCAGTGCGGTGTACGATGTTCGTTCAAGGTTGTACATTTTTTCTGGAATTCATGCTCCTTCGTACTCAGTGAACAATCTCATGCCCTGATAACATAAGCCAGATGCATTACAGCAACAAGGGCACAAAAACCACGAGTTTTGATCAACAGCATCAAAGCGAATTCGCTTCATTTTCTCTTGTATTTGCCCCCATAAGACAATTTCTGGCACAGACTCTTTCGAGGCGTCGCGATTGCAGTGAACTCCACTGCTCTGAATAAAGATTATGTTGAGGTCAAAGCAAATCAAACTCCGTTTCACTGGAACTGACAGGTGGACACAGAAACCAATGGGGAAGAGACTCCAAGAAAACAAATAAAATAAACACTGAAAATTCAAAAGCATGTGAGAGCAGAGAGGAATAAAAATCCTGCGCAGTAATTCGCCCCGCTCTCGACACTCCGCAGATCAGCTTCTGGCTGAGAAACGATTCCGCTCCACGGAAGAGACTCAAAGACTCTTTGTGAAGCCAACGCTGCCACAACATTTCAAAATCGCTATTTACTGAATTCAACTTGAGGAGCGGACATTGCTACCGACTGAAACTGTAATGTCTGCGCCTGACTCCTGTTTGTGCCGGGAGGTGCCAAATTCTCCAAATTTAATTCAACAAGGGGGCATTGACACCTGCATCGTGTTGCAAGTGTCCCAACTGAAAGGCCACAACAAGAAAAGATAAACTGCGACACTCACGTCTAAATCCTCGTCCCTCCTCGGGAGTCGAGCGCTCGGTGCCCTCTGAGCCCGGGGTGGCCGTGCCCTCGCGGTCTTCAGACATGGGGGCGTCTGAACTCTCTTCCTTCACCACAGGAGCCAGAAGAGGAGGCGAGACGGACGCGCTGGCAGGAGAACTTGAATCGGCTCTCTGCTGTTGGGTCTGGCCGTTCAGATACCCTCGCTCTTCGGCGGCGATGCCGGGAGAGAAGAGGGTGGACAGGTGGTTCGTGGGGGTCGACGCTTCGTGGTGATTGCTGCTGCCTGTCTCGATCTTCAGACACTTGGAAGGTGGGGCAAAAGCAGAAGGGAAACCTTTGACCTCGGGAGCTGCGGGTGTACCGAGAGGTCTGAAAGCGCCAGATCCGAAAGGGACTCGCGGGTCAAGAGCCGGGTGCAAGAACTGAGGCTGGAGATGGTGCAGCAGGTGGGCCGGCAGGCCGGGATAGCTTTCCATGTGCCGGAGGCCAAACCCAGCAGCGGTGAACGGCACGTGCAAATCCTTAGCTTCTGGTGCCTGGGTGAAAAATAAGCAGAAGAACATTGACAAATGCACTTGGAACAGGATAAGTTAACCTTCAGGACATTCAACTTCAGAAATCTTAAATATCAAAATAACTACTGGCCTGCATGAGGTTGAATCTTCTGGTACATCACATCTACAGGTTTTTATGAGGCACATTTAATAAATTTATTTTCCTGCTTTATTTTCATTGTAAGATTAATGGCATACATACCTGTGGATTGAAGGGCCTCTGCATTCTAAGGGCCTCAGGCAGCCCTCCTGCTTGAGAAAACACTACCAAAGCTGGGGGTGGTAGAGGGTTAGGAACATATGCAGAATTTTCCATCTGTAAGAAGATTAAAGACACTAAAAATTCATCTATGAATTCTTTAAATTACTAACATAATCAATCTAGTAAGAACTTGAAAATGTAAGCAAATGTACCATGACTAAACCACACTTACAAAAAAACAAAACAAAATAGCCACTATTTACCAGTTGTTTTTTTTTTTGATTAAAACTTTTAAATTATCTAAATTTAAAAAAATGCTTTCTTAACAACAGGCAACTATTACAAATCCTCATAAGCATTTTGACACCATGTTACAGTGCCATGCTTGTGCTCAGAAAAACAGCACAAAATTCACTAACTTCACATATTATAATAGCATGAGCCTTGAATCGAAGGCAATTGTCTCGTACATTGAACAGGACGTCAGTTATCTTCGTAACCTACAGAAATTATCAGAGAAATATAAACAAATGCGACGGGCTTGAATACAAGACGCCATAAAACTACAACAAATGTTGTAATCACAAACATGTTAAGCACATCGTAACACAGAAAGCACTCCCGCATCACACACGACGGCAACTTGTGTTGACATCCCAACATTATCTCTCATTAACCATTAGCACATCTTTAATTTTCACCTGCACTTAAATACATTTATGAAACACTTGAATATCAAGTTGCATCATAACCCTACATTGACTTCTGATTTTTGTTTACCTTGAATCGACTCAAACTGACAGTACCATGTGATGAATAATGTATTAATATTATAAAATGTGTTTAAACTTTCTAAAGTGCACGTTGGTTGGACCGAGTAGCTTCCAATTGCTGCTCCCGAATCCACCAAGCGCCAACTGAGCTCCATAAACACTTACCTACACACTCATGTTGTCCCGAGGTGCATGTTGGGAAATCGACAAAACACGATCGCATTTCGTACGGCGGGAGAAAACGAATATGGAGAGCTGCGTGATGGTAGCGGGACCGATGAACTTAATATTGATTATTCTGATACATACGGACGCCAGAAGAAGAGGGTAACCAGGCATCTGATCCCCCCCGCTAGATTTCTGAAAAAATCAAAATTGAAAATACATTTAATACTAATACCAACATTTAAAATTATTTTTCAATAGATTTTAATACAAAGACCCACAACTCTCGAACGATCCGCAAAAATATTCTTAAACGGCTTAAAACAAGTTTGTAAGCAAATTTTCTGGCTGTGCCGTTGTAAAAATTATTCCTAGCAACGACCTCGCTGAACCACACACGTTTTTAAGTTGGTGTATAAGAAAATACGTTGTAATGTCGGCTTCAATGTAACTAATGTTGTATTAACTTAATATATACAGATTTGCCGAAACACACACACATTCTTGTTCAAAGAAACAGTATGTTAATAACACATTACATTTGAGGTCTTCCAGATTACGACGCCAGGTCGTGTAGTTTTGTAGATGGTTGCCGACGTTCCGCCGAAACTTATAACCACTTACAAGACTAGACGACATTCAGGTCATTTGCACGATCGCGAGAGAATTCTGCAAGGACAATGTGTCCGATTTAATTACGATTTCCATTAATTATTTCTTTGTTTATTCCGTTAATTAACGATTACAAAACTGGGTAACATTTAATGGTACGTGAAATGCTGAATGCAAACATTCTAGGTTAACCTAACCTAAATAAGCTGAGCCAACGGAACTAGGCGTATAAACAATTGCAAGTATCAGCTTTCACTCGTCACTGTGTGTAGTAGGTACGATTACAAAGTTAACCACAACTACTTAGAAGCTGAAACATAACTTTGATCATCAGTTTGCAGCTTAAATGCTGACAAACAAAAGTTCAATGAATTAAGATCACGCAGATGCAGAAACTTAAACTCGCTTTTAAGAAGCCCGGCACAATTATAAACATTCTCCTGTGTATTTAATTTCCGTTCCTATTGTTCCGTTATAACAGGAAGTGCACCACAGACACCGAATAAAGCAAAGATAACAAATGCAGTTCCATTGTTGTACAAGCGTTGATCTCGTGCAAGAAGACTCATTTAATGAGACGATACTAGGACGGAAATTAAAGAATATTCTTCATCTCGTTTTTGCAAACACATTCGATTCTGTTACTACGAGCGAGCTATTACGCCTGGCATTAGCTCCATTAACAGTAATAATAAAACACGCTCATGTTACTTTTAGTTTCGATATCATAATTTGTTCTGGGCTGAGTCGCAGTGTGGTATATACCAACATTCCGAATAAACATTATCCTCCATCACGAGCAGAGACGATTGAGACAGGAATATTACTTCGAAACGTCAGTTTCTACGCTACTAATTCACATCGTCATCCATAATCTTGAGCGCTGAGGAATCGAAGTACAGCAGCGAGACGTATAAGACTAGATTCTGTTTTTGTAGGTTGCAGCACCGTCCTGTCTGACAGATGACTATCAGCGCTTGAAGTGACTACCAACCCAAAAGACAGTAATCTGTGTCGACGTGAAAAACGAAAATCTCATCCAAAACTTCCCATATACGAGCGGTATGTACGGTTTACATTACGTTTCTGAAGTACAGTTCTTGATCAAACGTACTGGACCACTTTCGCAAATGTCATTGTTAACCACCTCCAACCGCAGTTAATAAAGATTACATCATTATTCTTCGTAACGCCATGCGCCATAATTCCGTTTGGAAAGATTCGCTCCTTATAATTTTTCCCCCATATTCTTGAAGCTGAATCACACGATGGGCTTACAACAAAGTCACTATAATCTAGACCATGGCCCACATAGGTGTACTGAACATTTACTACTGAAGTAAGCCTGGAGTGTGCTACATTTAATACTTTATCGGCAGCGAAAAGATCAACTGCAAACGCTAACGTATTCAGAGCAACAAACAAGCTTAATTAAGTAGACCGAGCAATGCCTATGCTCACTATTCAAATCAGATCAGAGTTGGGTACTTGGGGAGGATTTAGTATGGATTGTGTAAAACTTGGGGATTGGCCAACGACTACACAGCCTTGCTACCTCGTCCGGTGACAATCGGCGAAGGCGTTAAGCCCGTAGCAACAACCAAATCTCCCACAAGCAGCAGTCGGCTTAAGTTCACATAACTCATTGCAGTGCTGGGGAGAGATTTTTAAGGCAAGCAAACCACAGTATTGTGGGTTACGGATCTGTAAGTGTCTGGTCGATGGAAGTCAGAATTCCAGTAGAATATTTCCACAAAACACAGATGTTCCGAACGGAGCAACCGCACATTTCCCTCCAATCGATTGTTAAAAGACACCTGCTTTACCGCGAAAATATCAACGTATCTCTAAATTAACAAGGTCACAAAGGTACACTGACGTTCTTCGCGTGAACAGGGGTGTAGCCCATCGGAAGAATTACTATCTAACCCGATGTGGCCCAGGGGTTTCCATCCCCAAAGTGAGGCAGGCCAGAAAAGGCTTGGGGAGAGACCCCTGAATGTTGATCCTTGGGATTCTGTACGCCCTTGGTAAAACCATGAGAGTTAGCTACCACCTAGCAAAACCCAGACAGCCATGGACGTTCTTTGCGTCAAAACCATCCAGTAACCAGTTGACCACGAAACTGGAGCAGAAGAATACTCTACTCAGATGGTCAGAGTCGTTGCCATTGAAATGAAAGCTTTGAGTACACAGATCTACAATTAGGCCAAAATGCATCAAGAACCCTTTCAAGCCGAATGCTCGTCTAAATAATGTTTAAAATTCGATTCTAACCTCAAAGCAAACGTCTCCATTACAAACATGCATTCGTTAAGGGTACTTACTTAGGGGAACACTCGCTGTTCGAGTACTGTATGGGCAAAATGCATGTTGAATGTTGTTACAGGTGGTAAATACAATTACCACTCAGTTTTAAAGGATTAAGCCTGTCAGAAACACTACAGAGTTGTCTTTTAGCGTCTTAAGGAAAACAATAGGCGCACACATATTTATTAGGCATACAAGAAAGAAATGTTTATGTTTTGAAATATTGTTTAATTACAAGGTAATATTAATTCGTAGCATTAATTAACCAAATATTCTGATTGAAACACAGCCCAAATGAAAACAAAGCAAAATACACAACTTGAAGTGTTGCTCAGTTAAATTGCAGCGGGTTAATATAGGAACACTTCTGCCGCACAGGAAAGCGGATTTATTATTAACACACAGTTAGAACATTATCTTCAACATGACATGCAATAACATGTTGAAGATCATGTGGTCATCTTCAGGCGCCTGTCAAATACAATTTAAATGAACCTGACGACTGTTTAATCTGTTCAAAAACAGGAGAAACAGTTGGCAGAGGACACATGCAAGATAATAGGTCATCGGGCCAGCACGCTTTTGCAGTTATCCAATAACTAGGTTAAATCACTGATAAAATACGAAATTCATAGTTATCCTAGAAACCGCCTCATATTTCAAATGTCTCCTACGGTTTTGGTTCATTTGACAATCTTCACGTTCATCTAAATTATATTTGATAGAAAGCGTGCCGATCGTAGTAAATCCAATCTGTTACGTGCTCCCGAATAACTCCGTGACAGGACGATAAAATATAAGATAGGTTACTGTACATTAAACATAGTTAGTATTCTAAAATAAATTTTTTGGCATTTAAAAAATACATAAAAAGGATACATAAATACCTCTGACACTTAAAATTCTGGGATAAAACTTTGCGGTAATGTACACAGTGGCCCTAGAGCTAGAGGTGAAACTGACGAGCGACACGTAACTTCAAGATTTTAAAAAAATCACTGCAGGTACATGTAGAAATGCCTCGTCCATTTAATTTGAAACAAAAAGAAACTCACGATTTTAATCTAGTACATGATTGAGCATTAGCAGAAAATGGTTATTCAATTATTTAAGAAACCTCTACAATATTTCTATCCTCTAGTTTTAACGTCTGTAGCCAAGTAACGAGGAGTTGTTATATCTTCAAATTTAGTTGATTTCAATTGTACAGAAGAAGACTCTCAAAATATGAAGGTACTAGAAGCTTCCAGAAATTCACGTGTCTGCATGACTGCAAGTCCACAATGTTTTTTGAATGCTTTTGCATCTGGGGACCGTCCGCGCGGAAAAATCATCAGAGCCGACGAACACGCGAAATAAAAGCAATCTCACCTCATTCAGTCCTGCTCCTCCGCGCAGTGTCTTGTGCACATTTTCTTCGTGCTTTCGTCGCGACTGGCTCACTCATAAAGGCTGCTGATGCTCTGTACACATTTTAATAAAATTACAATTTTTAACCAATTACTTAAGCACATCATTTCTACAGACACGTAACAGCTACAAACTAAATTATATAGTACACATGTACATTTATATTAACAAGTCTAGAACAAAATACACAAAATACCCAAAATTCTGAAGAGAAAGTAAACCATGTGATAGATTACATATATTTATATGAAGATAAAAAGATATATCAAATAGAGTTTATTTGAGAATAATGGTAAGGAAATGAACCAGGGAAAATATAAAATCCCACCAAATTTTTATCTCTGACTCTCTTTTAAATATAATAAATGCAGAACCACCATCAGTCATTATTCTGCAGCAGTGATTCAGAAGCAGCGTTCTGTGGATGGATTTCTCCGACGGTCAAATTCAGATGAACCCTCTTTAAGACGAAATATGTAAAGCAAGAACAGCGTTCTTTCTGACTGAATGGCAGATTCTCGTGAGCTTATGCTTACAATTAGTGAGCCACATTCTTGAAAAACATTCCTCCTTCACACGACATTTCCTCAGAGTGAAACAATTTTTCACCGTCATTAAGGTTAGAATGGCATAATTACGGCAGTCTGATTAGCATTCCTTCGTTCACTGCAACAAAAATTCACTGAATTTTCCCTAGTTCAGTTCTGATTCAAGTGTAGTGAGATCTGAGGTACTCGTGGCGGTCAAAATTGGGATCGCAGTCTTCTGGGCTGTGACACGGCTCAGCCCCACAGGAGGTCACCAATGTCCCTCTGAAATGTTGGTGTCACAATCCACAGGACTACGATCCACACTGGATGACAACAAATCTTCTTCATATACTGCACTGACACAGAAATAACTTAAGTAACATGACAGTCCAACTACTAACGCTACGCGCAACATTCAATTAAAGAAAAACAGGACCCCCTCCCCAAATAACCACAAGTACGCTACATTTCTCTTTTAAGGAAACTGTTGCGCATGCATTTAGTTTCAGTTGTCATTCTTAAATGCAACGAGGGTCTTGGAACATTGCCCCTTTACATTTCAATATTTCAGATTATCCAAAAGAAACTGGCAAGGTACCGACCCTACCTTGGTTTCCTGTTATTAGTATTTCAGCACAGTATCCTACCACGGGCATCTCAGTTCAATTCATTACATCACAGGTAGTTCATGGAGCCAAGGTTAAAACGCAGCTCAAACAACTCACCAATTACTTCATCACACAGCGAAATTCTTCACTCAGAAGACAAATTTATCTTCGCGACCGTGGAACGTTGATGCCGAAGGTGCTATTGTATGTCGCATATATTTTACATATGTACACTTAATTAATTAGGTACATCAACAACAAATTCCGTCTGCTGACTCTGGATATAGTAAATAAATACAGTACAATCATATACACAGACATGAATCTTTTCTTCGACTTCCAGTGAACAAAAATGTGAGGGAACCGCTGCATTGAATTTATCACAGGAGTGTAATTAATTTCCTTAAAAACATATGAACATCGCCACTACGTACTAAAATAATGGCAGCAACATCTCACATACATCAATATCTATTTACAAAGTATGTAACACATCCAACTGAGAGCCTCACGGCTCTATCAAGAAAATGACCTCACAACGTCCGAAACTCCTTTTCATTCTCCAAGTATTAAAAAATCCTGAAACATTCTATTCCACTTCTAATATTTAAAAACATAGTTGTGAACTACTAAAGAATTAAGAAATACGTTATGCGAAATATATCATCAAATCACGGTGACAACATGGAACACTGTTTGCCAATACCATATTTATCCATACACCACGAGTCTGCAAAAAATCTGCGCACCCCAAATTTATATTCTGCCAAGAAAAACTGGAAACAGAACATACAAATCCCTGAACTGAATTAAATTAATATCGACCTTCACTATCCGTGCCGTCTCACAGGCTGCAGATCGCACTAGCATTCTGCTAAACCACTAACCCCAAACAGCGGCCCTGCAGTACAAAGGTTTAAATTCCCTGCTATCAAATGATAAAAGTTGAAATCGAGCAAAACTGATGATAAATTAGATCAGGGTGAACAGTCCCACTCTACGAATGTACGAACGTACACACAATCGCTGACAAAACGAAAAGAGCATGAAATAAAATTAGAAATAATTACTATTATGCTTCATTCCCACTGAGGCTGCAGTCATGTACCAAAGTAAATCTTCAGCACACTCACCTAAACCGTTTACAATCTCTAATAACATGATCACTGGTATCCAGCCCCAGGTGCGCCTGCTCCGTTCACCCAGTAGTTGCAATTTCTGTTGCTTTATTTTTCCTGCGGGGCTCAGTGGGTGGTCCCCAGGAGCCATCCTTTCAGATCGTAAATATTTTCTTACATTTCTCATTCATTACCGCGTCTAATGCCATTTCTGATGTGTGAACAGATGTAAGAGCGATTTTCTCATACCAGTAACTACGTTAGAAATGTTAACATTTTATTCTTTGTACGCATTTTGGAACCTCGTGTTCTCTGTTTTACACATAAAATAATTTAATTTAATTTAAGGAACTTCTGAAATGAACCCAGGATCCTTGAGAGATAAAATCTCTTTCAGAGTTTCTCGCGCCTTCGCCCGGTGCTTTCTGCTTGATGCTAAAGTGCCGCCTCTTATTTAAATATTAATAAAACTGTTATTTCGCCCACAAAAGGCCTGCTGATAACCACTACTTTGCGCAGACAGACCATTCTTTTCACGCTTTTTGGTCACGGTACAATTCCCCATTTGTTTTCCTTCTTTTAAAATCTTCAGTGTCTCACAGACTGCAAATGAATTTCCAACAGCTCCGTGCACGCACTATATGGATAAATACAATATTACGTCACATAATTGTGAAAACTACTCTGGAATGAATAAACGGTCACCCCAAAGAATACACCTACGTCATTACCGGCATTTGAAAAAAAATCATTCTCTTCATCCGAGCTCCTGGTCCTTCTAGTAAATTCTGTTTAAAAAATGTTTGCTGCACTGTTGCATTACAGTAGGCCGACCCACAAGTGGAAACAACAGGCATTGACAAACTTTTCCACCAGAGCCTGAATTTCTGCTAAACAAAATTCAAGGCAATCTGAAGTGTCACATTCTCTGTTCGGCACAGCTTTCTTATACACGACAGCAAGGTCCTGCAAACAATACAAACCAAATTACTGCAAGACTGTGCCATCACGCCCGTTCCTTTCGGCAAGAGAACGCATTACACTTTCCCAATGAAATGAGATTCATTTGAACATGTGGATGGAATAACTCACCCCACGTGACGTGTGCAAGTCGACAGACAGCATCATGAAGGCTTCTACGTAGCGAGAGTGCAGAAAAACGATGTGTTGAATGTTGCCATCTGGAGCTACGAACATTCGGCACTGATCCATGTATTTTGTTGTCAGCACTTTGGCCAATCCTTGATACCAGGAAAGGGGCTGACAGAGCAGTGGCGAAAGGCGTGGATCCAACTGACTCAACGGCTCCACAACAGCAAGATTTCGCAGCTCGCAAAACTCACTGTATGTCAATCCATGTCCTGTCAACTAATAAAACAAACCAGCACGACATGAAGCACGTGCAATATACGTTAAACGCTTGACCGAAAACCTGCTTGTATAGAAAGGTCTACTGCAACATGCAATAAAATCTTCTCAAGCAACAAGCCATGTCAAAATGGAATTTTAGTCCAATGTTTCAAAGACACTCTCTGCCTCCATCATCAAGGAATGTGATGAGTGACTGCAGTTTGCTCTTTATATCTACAAAAAAATGGTGCCCTTTCACGTATGGCCTTTGACAAATATGGAACGCAATGCACCCATCTTCGTACCATTTGTACGGACATGCAGTACCTGGAACTTGATGTGTCTAGGTCTGGTCGATCAACTGCCGTCATCTTGAATGACGGTACTCCTCCACCTTTTTTCACCTGTCTCCATGTCACTTAACTTCGTCCTTTGTAACGGTGTTAGACTATGATTCCATTTTAATGTGGCTTATCGCCCAAGAAAATTTTATTGCATTTAGTCACCGTGAAAGCCTCAAGTCTTAAATATACTGCAAAAGTTCATCCCAGAAGTAAAATTAAGTTTAAAGAAAATCTATTTCCTTAATTTCTGCAGCAGACAACTGACTAAATCAGAAGAAACTGTTGTAAAAGACACAGACGTTAAATGTACCAGATCTCTGGGCGGCGCCTCGTCCCGCTCTCTGTCTCGACGACGCTCCGAGTCACGAGCAGCAGAGCACTGCAGCTTGTTCCACAGCAGGTGTGTGCGACAATGCACCATTCCCTGGGACACCATTGAATATATCCTCTGCACTGCACTGTCTGCTTGTTCCAGAATCAACTGCTGCATGAGCTGCTCATGAGACGAGTAGTACCCCAGGTAATTAACAGCTTCTTGCCTGCAAGGAAAACCACACATTCAAGTATACTTCACAAGCTCATTAAGATGTGGTAGATGTAGAAATAACCTTTCCTTGCATGACTTATTTATCACCCTCATGATGAAGGCAGTAAGCTCCTCCAAAATGTCAGTCAATATCTATCAGACCACATGGTGCTACGTCCTAGAAGACAAGTCATCTTCAAAGAGTTTTTTTTAATATAATAAGTGACACTTGATGATACATTCCATGTGTGTTAATACACACCACTGTTTCTTAAATGCATAAACTTTTAATAGCAATGAAAGCATTCAACATTCTTGAAAAGGTTCAAAGTTAATTTTACAAAATATGACCAAAAATAAACACAGTGCATATTTATATTTTCCTATACTTACCTCAATGGCTTCCATTTCTCTTCCTGAGAACAGAATTTTACTATGAATTACGTCTTAAATATGATCATAACTGGAAGACATTGTAATGAATGTGATTACTAGTGGCTACGAACAGAAAGAAGTGATAATACTATCAGCAATCACGCATGCTGAAGAAAGCAACACACAACTAAGCAAACTTTAGTTTAGAATATACGCTGTGGAGAAGTAGCGGGGGGACTGGAAGAACAGCCAAGCCTATGTGAAAATGTGTACAGGATCAAGAAGTCTACTTGTAGCGTTCTGTGTAACCAGTGAATACTCAGAAAAGAAATCAACTTATCCAAAACAAAGAAGTAAGGAGACTCAACTCTTCAGCACTCATCATATATGTCAAAAGTTTGTACTCTATCACATACAAGCACTGTACTTTCAAAGAAAAAGCAACATAAACATGGCCTTAAAAAAAACACACACACACACACACTTATACTTGACTTTCCCTTCTATGCTCATTTATGATACAGCCAAAAATCTTCTTTTAACTGCATAAATATATCTAAGATGTTTGCAATCATCTTTGAATTCTTCAACATGAGCTGGTACCTGATTTCGATGTGGTGTGTAGGTGTAGGCACCGATGCCAACCTTTCGGGGTTAGGGTCTGAGCTGTCTACACTTTCTGAGCTGGAGTTTGTGTCATGATCAGCCTCATGACTGGACTCACAATCCGGTTCTGACACGGCCTCAGATACGGGCTCGACGCTGGTCGCGGTGTGAAGTGAATCCTTGTCACTATCTGCAACCTGGCTACTGCACCACTCTCTGGTTCCTGACCCAACACCAGCATTATCTAGCTCCCCAGTGCATCCCGCATGCCCCAGTTGCAGTGGCGTTGTTACAGAACTCGTTGACACAGTGCAGAATTTCCCTAGCTTGGGCTCCATCTCAAGTTTGGGGTAAAGTTCTCTACAGAGGGCAAGATAAACACTCAGTCAAAGTGAATGAAGCTTTTCTGGGATTTGAGGCTCTCATGTCAGTGAGTACGAAGACAGCCGTCTCCTGAATTTTAGCACCAAGTGGTCTCGTAGAAGTCTACCAATGTTTCTGATAATGGAGGCAGCAAGGACGCTGGCAAATTTCTATCAAACTACGTGGTGCTAAAATTCAGAAGACGGCCACCTTTGTGAATACAGCATTTGCTTGCTTAAGCCGTGAAGTAGTGGTGTTCTGTGCTTGGTTAAGAGCAGCTGTACAAAAGCCAGAGGATGTCAGATTCTTACTTTCACGTGTGCAGAATTTAAAGAACTAAAACTGTATCACAACTTCTGTAATCCAGTTTTATTTTACGTGAGCTGCTCGTCTTATATGTATCACTGAGAAATCTGCAAATTAAAATCAATAATAGTACTGATAAATATCTGTCCACATTTTCTTTGCATTTTATGCTAGTTTATTTAAATTTTTACACCAACAAGTAAACTGTATGTGCCATGCACCAAGTATCAGACAAGTAACACTATGTCCGTGGAGGGCAATACCGCAAACCTTATTATGCAAGACTCTGCTACCTATCTCATATAATCAATCACAGTATCGCAGAAAAGAAGAGGGTCTTATGCAATTGTTCCCACTATTCACAATTTATGCCCTGGAAAACTCTAAATTCTAGTCAAATATGAGATTAAAATTGCGAACAGCTGAATATAAAATGCATGTTTGAAGTGCAAGTGTAACTTGAATTTTAACGAGTAATGAGTCCCATTCCATAGATTTTTTACAACTGTAACTGTGATTACAGAGATGATCCATTCCATAGATTTTTTACAACTGTAAGTCATTACAGAGATGACAATTTTATATTTTAAGATTACACCAATCCTCATAATCATATATATATATATATACTCCTTCTATTATGCAAAAGATATTTAAGGTCATATACAATAGCGACTTCGGCAACAGCTATTATCAGAGAAGTTCTAGAATGTTAAAAGTGTGTAAGTGATGAAGGACCTATATTTTTTTTCATTGCAGCAAACACGGGGAAGCAACATCAGCAAAAGTGAAATACACAGCGTAGCAAGGCTATGGGAAGATACGACTGCACTACATAAACCAAAATCCAAACCCTAAAACCATCCAACGGAAAGAAATACTTACATGCAGAACAAAAAAGAAAATTATTTCAGGCTTTGAAATGATGCAGCTCACAGGTCTTGAAGTTACTGTTACGCATACCACTACAAAATAAGTGATCAATGCAGTGTACTATTATATAGGGTACGTAGAATATGCACCAAACTGGTCAAAATTAGTAGGAAACAGCTTCACACTGTAAATTGAAGGGGGGCGGGGGGCGGGTCAAACCTGGAAAAATGAGCAGAGTGTGCATTCCTCACCTCCTGCTTGTCAGTATGATGTAATACTTGATATGAAGGTTGCCCTGCTCTGACTCATCATCTCGATCGTGCGCTACAATCAGAGTTGCGTCAAAGTCGTCTGTATGCTTCATGTCATGTACATCTCTGTAAGTGACATGTCGTGTGCTCTCTAGCTGCACAAGTACATACTCATTGTCCTAAAAAAGTGAAAAGTGGCAAAAGTTTCTTCATTAGACTGCTGGATATATCTTCTCTGATACTGTGGAATCAACTTTATAAGATACAGAGTAAGTTGTTATATACAAGGCTGATCATACGCTTTTACAAGTCATTTTTACAAATTAAAATTAAAATTTGCTAAATGTTAAACAGTTATTCAAGAGAAACTGTTACAAACGTATCAGCAAAATTTTAAACAGAACACGAAACAGCGATAACCTGAGATTTCTTTGCTGGCACACGACGTGCAACACTACTTAGTGAACTATGTTGATTTTTAAGTTTCCATCATCCACATAACTTAAAAAAATTAATGATATGCATTGCTTGGAGAAAATAATACCGTGAATATTATGGCATCTAGTCATCTGTTCTGCGTTATATGTATTCATAACTTTCGAAATATTCACCATACACAGTGAACTGGACTGTTTTAAAATATTACTGTGACTTCTGTCTGCAAAATCCTGTTAGGTTAGTTAGTTTTATGTCCAGTATTAAAACTGCATCTACAAAAGCAAGGCAAGCATGTTAACAACTACGCAGTCTTAGATTTATAAATTAAACTATTTGTGAAGTGATCATTTACTAAATGGTATTTCTTTCGCACATCATGTTTTATTATAAAAGTTTACCAGGTGTCATGATGTTGGAAAATGGGGTAGGACTCCTGATTCACGTATGACATGCAACTGGTTCAAATACTAGTTGGCAAAATGTCCACCTCAACTGATCGCCCTTGTGGTTTCCTCTATGTAGGTAAATGTCCTGATAATACTTCAAAATAAGCAACAAAAACTTACCCTCCAGTTCTTCCAAACTCAGAATTAATATACATGATGTCAGATTTGAGGTTGAAAATAAATACAAAATACATGAAAGCATTTAACACTTGCATTAGAATCAGAATCATGTTCTCCACAGTCGGAATCATGCAATGTTGCAACACGGACAGGAACCATGCAAAAGACCTCCATGTTATAGGCCTTTTCATTGCTAAGCAGATAGCTGAACAGCTGGCGGGCAGGCGTCGTCACATTATGCACCGTCAAAACATCTATAAACAAATCATCAGCACACATCCAGTTACACAGTTTGTAAAATTCTCGCCAGCATGTATTATTACTTCTTACAACGAATCAATCAAGGACCTAAGAGTCTGAACAAAAGAACACCAGGGACTGACAGTGGACTTCACACGCCAGAGCTGTTCTATCACTGAATAATACATAAACACTGGGAGAGAATTGCACGGCAAAGATGGCAGTACATATCTTAAAATGGTGTAGAATCTTCACGTGTGTGGCATCTCAGCCCCTGCATCAGCTTTGAGATTAACAACAGAAACTGGAGAATGTGAGCAAATAAGAAAATTTCTAGTTGGCTGTTTGACTCAGAGTTAAGACAGCTATACTGTACGCAGTTCTGCTGATAAGACTCATTCAATTTGTCTTCTTCGACAGCGAGGTAATATGTTCCACCGAAATGCTGGTATCTCCCTGCATGCCCAGATGGCATCACAATGCCGAAGACCAACACCGAAACTTTAAAACACGGCTTGAACATAACTATTAAAAATATTACCTGCATGAACAAGGTTTCTGGCAAAGTTTGGTGCCTTTGAGTAATATTTCATAAAGTCATCAAGGAAATGAGTGATGTGATAGCCTTGCTTCAGCACAGCCTGGTGTCTGGACACGTAACTGTAGATACTGCGGAGGTGATAATCATACGTGAAGGAGTGCAGATGCATGAGGATTTTAATCTTGTCACATTCATCCAGGAAACTCAATGTAAACTGCAAACACAGGAAAGTCACAATCTATATAGTATGAGTTCATTCCGTTGTTTCAAAGTTCAAAATGGAGTTTCAGTTATAAGTTCGGCATCTGCACGTCTTATTTAAATACATACAGTACACATTGAAGCAGCTTTCACAACTGCACTATTTGGTTCCAAATGCTGTGGGCAGAATACTGCCAGTAACACAAAAACATTTACAAGTGCAGGGATTTATTATTATGCAAATACAAGACAACACTTGGGTTTTCAGATGCTAAAAATAAGAAAAGACAACTAATAAATTTTTGTAAGATGCAAATTTTAGGTTATATGATGCTTCAAAACATGAATAACAGATTTCACAGCAACATGTACGATTTGAGGTTTCACGGCGTTGAGTCTGAAAATTGCTGTCTTCTGGGTTGTTGCGCCGTGTAATCTGGTAGATATCCACCAGCGTTTCAGACGTCATGCTGGCCCATCATCACCCTAATGTCGGAGGCAGCGTGACCTCTGAAACATTGGTGAACATCTACCAGACTACATGGCGCAACAATCCAGAAGACAGCAATCTTCACAGCAACAGTTCATGGACCAATATGATTATAAAGAGAATTTACAAGATGGCAATGCCATTTCTCATACCTGGGAGATAAGGCCACTGGATGATTTTGACTGGAGCCTTGAGCATTCTAATGCATGGAGTTTTGCATGGAAGAAAGGTTCACAAAGTAAGATCTCAAGGAGAAGAATGCCTCCAAGCAGAGACTTCTGAAGGTAGCACACATTGTTCTCCTTTCTTCTGTCTTCTCCATCCCTCCCAGAAGCCTTCAAGTTGTTAGCACCTCCCTTCAACCTGCATCACGTAAACCACGTGTTAACCTTCCATTGGTCAGGAGCTTCCTTACACAACTTATTCTTATAACACATTTCAGTGCAAGTATCTGCAGCATAATACTGCGTTTCTCAGACGTTATGGTGCAACACACTGTTGCTTGTGTTAAGACACACCGCATTATGTGCTACAAAATAGCGTCACACGAGTATATAAATATGACCTCCTAATTCTGAACACTGCAGTGATTAGTGACGAGGTTAAGGGCATACTGTATTTGTCCCACTTCATTACAAAACACTTAAAGTTTCAGATCTGAAGCAAAATATACAGCAAAGTTTAACTGTTTTCAATCTGAAAACTTTGTGTTCAATGTATCCCTACCAATGAGAACTGACATACTAAGCATACACATCTGTTGACTTATATTTTACCCACCCAATTCAATTTAGTCAACAAATTAAATGCCCGCTAATCTGTAAAATTATATGAAAGACAAGATTTACTTATGGCACAATGATCACATACTGATAAAAGAACAACCAGTCTGGACCAACCCTTTTCTTGGTGATGCTGGCTCAGTCTGGATCGGGATGAAACCCAGCGTCTGAAGATACTGCTTGTATTCTTGCACAAAGTTGGCACAAAGGTCACTGTGCCATTTGTCATCAGACTGTCTGTGCAGTGTAGGTGATGGTGTGCCAGCATGCACTGATCGTGGCACGGAATGGTGAGAGTGCTGAAATCCAGAATTATGACAAGCTTTTTGGCCTACTTTCTTAAGGGGAAAAAAAAAATTATCACATTCTGGCTGCCTTAAGATCCCCAGGTACCCACTGAGAGGCTGCGTGATCAAAATGTTTTGTCCTTTAGAAATCAAACCATGGCCATCCAGTCCACAAACTGGTCATTACACCAAGCACTTAACATGGGCTCCTGGAATTATACAGGGTAACAGAGCTTCTAGAAATGTGCAACGTTTGACACGTTAATCTTACATGGGAGTGCTGAGCCTTTGAAGCTGGACTGGGAGCAGCTGCCTGTGCTGGTGCTGAAGTCATACTGCTGAGTGCATGATCTCGTGTTGCCGCAGATTGTACTCGCCACCTGAACAATTTTCCATCATAAATTGCATTCTTAATGGAACGTTAATAACATCAAAACACAAAAACAATAAATTGCAACAACAGTAAGAGCTCGATAAGAAGAATGTCTGAAACTGCTGAACACAACAGCGGTGCAGTAACTGAAGCCTTCTGATCCAGCTACGACACAGTTACGAAACTGGATCCGTCAATCTGTTCATAATGGTGAAATCAACCCTTACCGACTCCTCTTCTCTGACAAGAGTCAATTTCAGTAACACAGAGAGGTAATTTCACTGAACAGTAGGAGATTCCACTACATGATTCCAAAATTGGTCTAAAACTTAGTACAAGTACAACTCTCAATATTTTATATTTGAAGAACTCATTTATATTCAGGGAAGTCAGACTAGTTTTTGCTCGTCATTGCAATACAAATAAATAGGTCAAGATTTTAAATTATGTCAATCATCAAGACCCGAATGGCTGTTTACAATAAGTATAAAAACACCAAGCTAATAAACTATTACTAATATAGTCTGAGCTAAGTTACCTAGGTAGAAAGAGGAGCGGTGTTAGACAATAATGAATAACCCGAGAATTCTGTTTGAACAGGTGGATTATATCTTCGGCCAGTGGGATGTTGGGAGTAGCGCCTCGTGTCTGCCACATCACATACAACTTCTTCTGCTCCTCTGCTAATTAAAAGGACAGAACAGCATTACACCCAAAATACATTTTAAGACTGTCCTTGACACTAAACAGAATTTAAAATCCACACACCATTTAATGGTATCAATACTAGTATATACATTTTCAGTATTAACAAGCAATTATTATATAAAATTAATACAAATGGGAACATTGCAGCTGGAAAAGAAATGCAAATAATCATACGCTAATTTACTGCATACTTCCGATCAAACTAAAAATCAAATAACAACAAAGATTTAAACTTTGCCACAAGTAGTGAACACTGATGACGAATACCTTTCTTATCAAACTGTCGTGTTTCCAACATCTGCTGGACATGACAAACAACAGGATCAGTATTGGTCGGAGTCTTAGAAACGGGTCGCCTGGGCTTGCTATCACGGAAAGCATCGCACCATGCCATTGCAGAACCCAAGGTCGTTGAGAAACCAACTCTCCGACTTGTTGAATCTTTATGAGCAGCACCAACACCAATGGGGAACTTAACAAGCTGTTCTACATCGCCAAGATTGGTCAAGTATGGATTTGAAACCTGAACAGAATCCCATGCACAGAAATTTGTAATATTCTGATATAATAAATATCTGCTAATAAGAGTGTGTTACTATCTGCAGTCTTACAAATTACTATGTGTTGGTACCGATTTTGACTTATAGTAAGAGGGACTGCAGAAATCAAGTTTGGGTTTACAAGTCTCTCGTAAAGAATTTAATAACAGCTACACAAATTGCAGAAGGCAAAGAGAGTCCTCATTGTGTGGTAAACCTAAAGGAGGAATAATATCAAAGGATTTTAGTCAGTACAGACACACACAATACCAGTCAAAATCATCTGGAATTTCCTCTGTGAATGGTTACCATTAAAACTCAGTTGATAAAAGCACATTTATACTATACTAGTGAAAGTGTACATTATTCACTTCACTAATTCTACAGAATCCTGCGCCGTAGCTGCGCGGCCTGATGCATCATGCTTCGGACCGGTGATATGGAATGCACGCTGGTTTGAGTCTCGGGGAAAGAAATTTCTCATGAGATTTTTGACCGGTGTATGGGACCGGTGCCAATCCAACATCATGAGGAAATTGGGGATCTACAATGGGTAGCGTAATCCGGTCATGAAAACTAGCAATGGCTGGGGGTTCGTCGTGCTGACCACACGTCACCCTATATCTGGTTGGATGATCGTTCACCTCTGCTTAGGCATGTGAACGTGAGGCCAGCAGCCAGCTAGTCGGCTTTGGCTCTCAGAGGGCTGTTATGCAATTGATTATTATTATTATTATTATAATTCTACTGAAGTAATGAAATTGTTTAAAAGGTCCATTTTATGATTTTGTAGTTCCAGTGATTAATGCCCTTTGCACATTTGGATTTAAACCGACACCACCTTAAACATATTTGGTAAAACTTTCATTACCTCTACACATTCAGGTATACAACGTTACTTACACTAACTAACCCACCAAACCAATTATATCACGAGACATCAAAATATGAATGTAAGGCAACAAAGCAGTATTGGGTGGTCACTTTCTGCACTATGAAAATGGTTGCGTACCAACTAGGTAGAAAGAAAGGGCAATCACTGATGGAAACAATTCTATATATGTGACTTTAAACTTACCAGCAACTTTTCCCAGGAAAATAACACAGTATACCTTAGTAGTATCAACGACCATTCACATACTGAATACTGTGATGTAACAGAAACTGTCAGCAAATGCAAACTGCACTTTGGAAAATCAGACTTCAGAAAAAACAAAGCAAATAATGAATGCATTTTTTAAAAATACAAGTTTCATAAACAAACATGCTTTAATTTTATATGTGAGAAGTTGAAGGGAAAAATTGTAGGGGGAGACAAAGATTGGAATATGTGACGCAGAAAATATGTGGAAATGAAGAGATTTTTCCATAGAACGTGTAATACTGTTAATTGACAGTCTGATGTGTGAGGACAAATTTGTGATGCACAACTCTACTGTAATTGAACAGAATAATAGAAATATTCTCTTGAAATTTGACTCAGCCTGTCTGGCCTTCTTTATATATGGTGTCTGTATCCACAAGCTGCTTACGACATGTTTTACCAAACTCTTTGGTCATTTAAAAAACTGTAAAACATGTATACATCTTCATTATGTGACTGACAAAGCACAGAATGATACACATGAGGCAAAGTACTAGCTGGAAAATGTCAGTGACATCATTACAAAAGCATTCTCTTCACTTCTGGGAGCCACCTCACATGTGGAACATGATGAAGACACAAATCTACATCGAAGAACTTCACATAAGAACAGAATATAACAAATGTCAGAAAATTTCAAGGATCGTAAGCAAATGAAAACTGTCTTGGAATATGAACTCAGAAAACACAATTTATCAGTTTTCCTGGAACGACTTAAAAAGAGAGAAACAAATGCCTAACAAGATCTTCAAGCTCTCGGAGTCCAGGGATGGAAAAGGAGAGCCATACATAAGGACCAATGGAAGTGCAATGTTGGGGCGGTCAAGGCCTGTAATAGGCTGTAGAACCCGTGATGATGATAAAACAAATGCCTAAAATGATTTAGCCATAAGACTCTGGAAATAACATATTTCAGATTTCACCCAAGCTGTGTTATATTACTATTACTTTTAAACTTTATCAGTACAATTAAATTAGAGAACAAATTGGTAATACACATATGAAAAAGTATTGAGACATACTTGAGAAAAGATTTCTTATAACAAAATTACATATTTCTTGATTAAATTCCACATACAGTGCAGTGAAGGAAAACTGTCTAGACTGCATCTGACTTTGGTATATGATTTTTATGAAATCAGACTAGCATACACGACTCCAACATGAGTCTCCTTACAAGGGGAGGATTACAGAAATAACAGGTACGATGCTTACATATGTTTGAATTAGGATTTACAAGAAAATTCTATAAGAGGATTTAACAATTCTTGCAGCAGCAAATACTAATTACTTATTTGTAATTGCAACTTCAAAGACAGTGTAGATTGTGGCATTCAGGGTTATGCTGTGTAGTCCTGTTATCAGTTACTGATGTTTTAACGTAACATACTGCCTCCAACTTCAGGGCAGACAACTATAAAACTACAAAACACAGTGTCACAACCTAAAATACAACAACCCACATTTTAACCATCACAAAAACCTCAAATCTCCCACAAGTGGTAGTGACATCAAGCTGTAAGTTGCATTTTTGGTATTCCATTGAGAAAGCGCGGCATAACATTTTTTTAAACCAGTCAATAGTTCCCTTACACATATACACCAATATGAAAGCCGACAGTTTCAGAATCTAGAGGCCTCTGAAGTATTTTCCTTCAAACACTTCTCATACTGATGTTGTTAAAAAAGTATCTGCTATGCAATTTTTATGGGAAGAAATGCGTTTACTACATTTTCTTAAATTATTTTTGGATGACAAGGAAAGCAACATGAGACAAGAACTGTGCCCAGAGGAATTTATAGAGATAAATGGACATTTAAAAAAAAACTATTCCTTTTTAAACGCGTGAAACTACGATTCCAAAGCAAAGAACTGAAATATTTGTTCTTTCATAATGAAACAGAGCAATAAATAAAGCAAAACAAAAACTGCACAAACTTATACACATGCAGTTTCCTCAGACAATATTCTTAACAAATAACTAATATTCAGCGAAGGGTATCGGTGACCTTAAGCATTTTCCATTTCACCTTTCAATAAGCACCCAACATGAACGTTTACTGCACAGGGGACCTGTGTGGAAATTATATGAATATCAGGTGTTGGAGCAGCGTACATACAAATGGTAGTTCCACAGATCTTTCTATTAAGCCCAGTCGCAAGATCAAAACTTAAAATTAAAACACTGATACTGATATTTCTCACATTTGCAATTATTTTTATATACGAAAAAGTAAAAATGACCGACGTGTCCTGAAACCGAAATTTTAAGCATTCTAAAGTAAGTCATCTATGAGAGAGAGAATGTAACTTCAGTTCACATTTAGGAATAATAATTAAATTTATCTTAATATGGTTAAAATTATCATTACAGCACATAGCAATTGCAAGTATAATAAGAAGTTACATGTTTACATGGTCCGACCATACTTATCAAAATACCATGCGCATATTTTTACCAATACTTCTGCACCAAGAAACTGGTACACGCCATATACAAAGTTTTGATACTGAGACAAAAAGTGACAAGTGCGTGAATATACAAAATGTAATAGCAATGTTCATGCAAGCTGGATCTTGGATACCAATTGTCATGTCGTTATATATTTTAAATACTGTGCACTTTCCAACATTTCAGACAAATGTACGGATGATTTAGCTTGGGACACTGGTGACGACATCAAAGCAACAGTTAAGTAGAGTTTTTAATATTTCACGCCTTTGCAGTTTTATCAGCCACACTGCATACTTACGCAGTTTTCTAAAGTTGGAACATCACATTAATGTAACTTAAATGTTTATATTTTAGCATTAGTTTGATTCAAATATAAAAAAAGGAATTTTTACATTTAATTTTCACTTTCTTTAACAAAACATAATAAAACTGGGGTGCATGTCTTAATATGAAGGAGCACAGTATTTGCGTAAATATCGTACAATGTAAAAACTGTCTGGCACCAGAGAATGCAAGCACAGTACTTCAACTACATCAAGTGGGAGCGAAGCAAATGTTTGTGGGTGTTGATAAATAACAACACCGACAGCGAGACATAAAAAAATAACCCTACATTTCTGGACACTTGAGTTTTGCAAATAAATATATTAAAGTATTCCTGTACTTCAGTTTTCCTGTGTAGCGTGATTAACAGAAAACATAAATAAGTTTTATAAAATATGCCTCCACTTCCTTGGGCATGATACAAGTTTCTTCTACCAATATTTCAGTTTTCATCATGTTTCTTTCACACAGTTTAGAACACCACTTTTGCTTGTTCACGTCACTACACCCGATACTAAAAATGATGCGTTATTTTGATAAAATAAATGCTGAGGCCCCAGGTGCTTTAACAGTGGTATAACACATTATCATGTGAGCCCTAAGTTTCAAGTTAAGAAACCCAAAACATACCAAGTGCAATGCCTATAAGTCTCTTCTTAACATACAATGATAACTGCTATAGTACCTTGCGTCCCACAGATTTTGCCACTGCAGTCTGTGTAAGAGCACCGTTATCAACAACTGAGGTGGTGGTGGTGGTGGTGGTGGTGTTGACTCTGGTACTACTTGTACGTTGTTTGCGAATCAGCTCCTGGTTGTGGAACAGCCCCGTCTTCTGGGTGACAATACTTGTGACGAGGCTCGACCGTGCACTGAGCCAGTATCCTAGCTGTGTTGCTTGCTGATGAAGGTTCTCCACTCGTTCTTTTGACCAGTTGTATGTATATATAACAACCTGAAATACAAACCCAGCACACACATGAACAAATTAGAAGGGATTACAAAGAATACTGTCATTATGGCTTCACTATTACTATTGGAGTATAGCTGCAATTACACTTTAGGAGGTTTCTGATTAAAATCTCAGCCCAGAGACCATGACCAATTCCTTGTTCATTAACTATCCCATCATTTGATCCCTTATTGGCCAAGCTACTCAGAGCATGTTGCATAAACAACAAAAAAGATTCTAAATTTAAAATATTTATGATGAAAAACCATGAAAATTAACAAATTAAATGAAAAAAGGATTTGACTGATAATCAATTGTGACAACTATTTTTTTTAAAGATATATAATCTGCATTCTGAATGGAATAAACTTGCTTGTCTATCTGATTCACAGTATTCTAATCATACAATTCTGTAATCAAGGAACTGCTTACATCAGTTACTTCCCTCTGTTGTGTGTACACACACACACAAGATTAAATTTATTTCTTACAATTTCAGGTGTAGAACCACAGGCAAAATTAAATGAATTTCACAAGTCTGATTATTTATGATGTAACAATTAGTCCATTCATTTCTGTCAAACCAACTATTGCCAGTCTCACACTATTCCTGTGGCCATCTTCTTTAAGTCAAATGGTGCTGGAGTTTAGAGCCCAAAAGCAAGATTTTTAGGTGAAGCTGTACTGCCCTTGCGCCTATGACGCATGGGGGCAAATCTCCACCACACAGTTGTCCTCTTTAAACACACAGGAAAGCATTTTAACGACAACGGAGTCATATCTGAATAAATTACGTGACGCTTAAACTAGACGTACTTTCTGACTGGTGAGAGTTGCTAGTAGGAGGCGTTGACGAGGCACAAAGCAAGGTGGCTGTTCTGATGGTAGCAACAAAGGTGAAAACTTCTGGAATGCTTCTTGTGCTGTGAACATGCACGTTTATTAAAAATGTACAGATTACAAAAAATGAGCAAGTACCACCCTTACAAGGCGGATACAAGGATTTTCATTCACACACAACAGATCATATTCTAAAGACCTCTCTTTTGGGTTGTTGTGCCATGTAGTCTGGTAGAAGTAACAACGCAGAAGACAGCAATCTTCGGACTCGCCGCCATGAAAACCTCAAATCCTACAGATCATATTCTGTTATAACTAAGACTATTTGTAAGTAAGAACTTCAATCCTATTCCATCTTACACGTGCCTTTATACTCTTTCATGGCAAATTTTCTGTTACAACTCATTCTCTATAAATACACTTTAACTGCACTGAAAGTCATTCAATCTGTGTCATGTGTAGAGTCAATATATTCAAGTACATCGAAGTTTCCTGCTGGTGTATGGCACTATTACTGCACTACACATAACCTTCTACAAGTTCCTGTGCTCACTATGTTTCCTAATAAGTCTGATGCTTTGAAACTTGCCACTGTGTTTTGTTTAAAATGCCAGGCCCTGATCGGAAGTACATAATACGCAGTACGAGCACACGAGTCAGAAATGTCTGTGATGACTTTACATGAACTAAAATCTGATAATTGTTTTACATTTTTTCATTTCATAATTTTAAAATAAAAAATGGCTAAAACAATAAATTTTAAAGAGGAATGTACAAAGTCTAAAATTAAACAGCTACCATAACAAATTTAAATTTCATTGGACTTCTAAAACCCAGTGCAGGAGAGATAATGGCCTGGAAATATGCCACTTTAGTGGTTAAATGGCACACTGAAACTGTAAGAGTAGATTATTTGTTGAGAAGGCCTGATCATGCTCAAAGAAATAAATCAGCAAATGTATTTCTAAGGATTATACAGATAGAAATACAATGATCCTCATTCAACAACTATCATAAAATGAGTATGAAGAGATACCATTTCTTGGATCAAGAACATCTGGATCAAACACAGCATCTTCTGCCACACATGCCTTCCACTGTATCAAATTTCTTCCTAGGAGCAGACATGTTGAACTTTCTCTCCTCATCCCAATTGTGTGGCAGGTGCCAGCATTAAAATGTGGCCCCATGAAAGGACCTGGAATATATGCCATATCTCCTCCTTCCTCTGAAAATGGATGCCCCCAGAATACTAATGGGGTTGTATCACTAGCATTCAAATTCACCAGGTTCTGCATTTCTCGTACCATCACAGCCAGAGAATGCCTGAAATTAATACCGTAACCATTAATTTTGTAGCAAAAATCTGTTGTTTTTAATTTGTTCTAGGTTTATGTAATGACCTTTACCTACTGCCTGAAGCAAAGTGAAATATCAATTTAAAAAGAACCAAAGTAATAATAATAATTTTGGAGATACAACACTTAATCATAAAAAGCAGTCTAATCAATACATCTAAATTACAAAAAATCCATTAACATTTCATGCCCAATCTTACACATCATCACTTAACACACTCACCGCACTGTAAGAGTAACGGAATGTTTGCGGACAGCTGGAACCCCCAGCTCAATACCGAATTCAAACCATGGCATCATAGTGGCACGGTACATCTCGTGCAAGACACCAGCCGCCCCGCTCTCCAGTGGATCCAGCTTGCTCCCTTTTGTACAGGAGCCAGTCTGCACAAGAGCAGTGTCCAACATTTATATCTTCCACAACATTCAGTTCCGTTGCGATCAGACTGAGCAAGCAGGTTCAGAATTTACAAGCCTTAGTTGTGTTAAAGATGTGCCCAATTTTTGAGTCTTCCCTGGGGCAGACAGTGCATTTTATAATTTTTCTGTCATTCCAAGGCTATTGTCAGGACAACACTACTGCTTTCTCATCCATTGTTTCAAGCTGACAACATAAGCTCATTATATGCTAAATGAGTTATGCACATAATAGTCTCATTAAATAATATCCCAAGAACTGAACCAAATTTTGTACTTAGGATTACCAACACAGAACAATGAAACTTGAAACAAAATAATTCAATGACATGCAAATGACTTCAATCAATGTGAGGTTGTCATTACTTAAAATGTATGATCGTAATTTGTATGACAGGTAAAGGAAAGCAAGATTTACGGTTAGAAACATATCTGAATCACTGAGAATATGTTCGGGCTTTAGACACTGTTGTAATATGTTTAATCCCCTCTGCCAATTCTCATTAGGATGTAACACGGCTTTATGACTGCCTAGGGCTAGCAAAGGCCAGGAATGGCCATCACAGACCACTGCCAGGGACATTACAAACATGACAAAATGAAGACATGTTTTGCTACACTTCTGGTTTAAAGCATACATAACAGTAATTAAAATTACAAAATATTCAACCAACCTGACCATCATTCCTTTCAAGAATGCTGTTCGAGTCACCTGGTCCCACCGTCTTCTTAGCTGCAATCAAAGCCAATAAGATCTCAAGCGTAATTGAACTTCACTGTGGTCACACTCAGTAAAGACGCTAATTGTCTCCGTGATGTGTTGGAAACAAGATAAATATCAGAGCTTAAAAAGTCGCTGTAAGAAAACAACTCAACTTCCTGAAAAAATTTAGTAAATCTATAGTAGTGTTTATTCATTTTCATACATAAACATTGTAAAATACAAAGCAGAAACTTGGACATGGAAGAAGGTACTAGTAGATTCAGAGAAGGTGAAATGAGCTTTTGAAGAAGTATAGAAGGAAACGCCAAAAGCAACAGAATTCGAAAAAAAGAAAATTAGGGAAAATTTATAGATAAACAACTTCAAAAGCAAATTAACAAATAACAGAACATGACTGTACAAGAATGTTTTAAGAATGAATGATAAGGGAATCACAAAGAAGGATCTACACAAAAGATGGGGACTGAGACCAAGATGGGAACAAAACGAGGAGTATGCATAGCTGTGGTAATACAGAGATACATGACAAGGCCTGTAGTCTGAAGAAACAACTTAGGAAGCCAAGTTTCCCTTCGTTAAGATGAATTATTCACACCGTAAACCAATTCAAGTGGGAGGTTATTGAGAAATTGCTCAACAGACTACTTTTCACTGCAGTTGCCATCCATTTTACTGTGGGAATCACCACTGTTATTTTTAAACAGAAATACGAATTTTGTTTTCAGTACAAGCATCTACTAATAAATGATAGCCCACATCCTTTACACCTGCGAAGTTCTGCCACTTCTCTACTGTTTTTTGTTATTTTAACCCAACTTACACTCAGAATTTTTACTTTTAACATGATAAAATGTATTCAAAATAATCTGTTGTTCCTTTGCTTCTGAGTACTTGCCCAGTTGTCCTCTTTACAAAACCAGCATCAGTTATTCTGTAGCAACACAGACTTCATTCCACAATAATACAAGAAATCAACCTCTTCAAAAGCCGCTGGAGTTCACTGGTCCTACTCTATGAGGAACCCCTACAATCCTTAAGTGCAGGACAACAATAATCTAGGAATATTTTAACATCCCATCAGCTACTACAATCTAATCTCAAAACTGAACAAGTTATAGAGTAAACCTTGTACAAAAATCAATTGAGATATTAATTTACACTTCCTGCTAGCCCCTATACAGCGAGAAGCTCATCATTCCATCTCCAATATCATACCTAAAACATAGAAATGGTCGTCAAAATATGTCAAGCTACATTTCAAATTAAAGATAATTGACAACAAGCAGACAACTAAATTCTAACCTTTGCTAGGCGTAGACAGCTCTGGGCTGGCCACAGGCTGACATGTGGTTGCAGATGTGGATGGCGGAGATGCGTAAACAGACACAGACGGGGAGAGGGCAACAGACGGTGATGTAAGTCCTCCAGAAGTACATGATACCCCTAATGGAGCAGTCAGTAGGCGAAATTCCATGAGCAGATCCCACGTGGCATGTCGAATTGAGGCTTGTAACTTCTGTGTTAGTGATTCATTGTTCACTTTGCCCTGTTTCCAGATTCGGAACTCAAGCAGAGCTACTGGTCCTAGCAACAGGAGATATTTAAATACTGTTGTTAAAGCTCTTAGATTCCACTTTCTGTTGGATATGATCAAACATTAACAAAAAGCTTTCATCCAAACTGATGCAAATTTTAGAAACACCATTACTCTGCGCCCAGACCGGATCCGAGGCCCACCCAGCCTCCTATCCAATGGGTACTGGGGTCCTTCCCCAGGGGTAAAGCGCGGCTGGAGCGAGATGCTGACCACTCACACCCATCTAGTGCTGAGGTTAAGAATGAGTAGGAGCTATACCTTCTCTCCCCCCAAGTGCCTGAATGGTGTATAGTGGGAGAGCTTTACTTTACTTTTATTACATTTCTCTACAAAAGAAAAGTACATTTCATCAAAAGAAATTTCCTAATTTTTGAAGCCACATGATTTTCAAGCATGACAACTCCTATTTGAGTGTTACCAACAGGTGCACACCTGGAGTACAGTTGTGGCTTATCCCACGTTCATACATTTCAGTCAGGATCAGTGACAGAAATTCACTGCAGTTCGGTGGTTCGAGGCTGGCGGAAGAACGAGGTTTAGGGTAGTGCTGGTGCTGTGCCACATTTCCCTCACCATCCACAACTGCCACAGCAATGCAAGCTATGCCTTTGCTGCCTGATACAGGGCTCTGGTTGTACAGGAACAGATCTCCCTCCGTGACACGCTTTGCAGATGTTTCTGGCTCTGAATAATCCTGAATTATAATCAATCATAGTTTAGAAAAAATTCCAATGTAATACATGAAATTAGTAACCTAGGAAATAACACATTAACATCACAGACAGAAAGGAAGAGTGGGAGGGAGAGAAATGAAATGGCTCTTTTGGGGATAAGAAAGAGGATTCAAACAAGCAGCGTGGGATGTGGCAGTCAAACCTCATGTCGCTGGGGATTGGTCAGAACAGGAATGTGCAGACCAAGCTATGGAGTTGCTGCAGCTGTGGCACCCTCTCAGCTCTGTAAGTGTTTGGGCCGGAGCAAATGTTAAATTGAATACAATATAACTTGTAATGCTCACCTTATACAGAATTCATAAATGTAGCATGTGTCAGAGATCACATCCTACATGCCACTGAAGAGAAGTTCACCTTCAAGCCTACCAACATAACCAGCTTAAAGCAATTACGCATACAAAAACCAAATATTCACCTGGAAATGGCACTCTGGCCGTGAATCAGTGTATTTTGGAATGTACAGAAACTGCAACAGGTTCTGACGT